AACATTTTACTCAACATCTCTAAACTTCATATGGCATCATTCAATACAAAAAAGAAAAAGTTCAACTTCTTCTGCTGAAAATTATGGCACGAACGGATTCCAAATGTTGATGAGAGCACAATTAGCCTCTAAATGTTGATTGCAACATGGCCATGGAAACCCTCCAATGCCTCTTTATCTCTAAGGATGACAAAAAAATTATATCGATTCAAGATCCTACTAGCCTTGACCTCAACGGGGCAGAAATAGGTATGGATTGTCCTGCCCTACTCCGTTTTACATTCTTTAAAAAAATGTTATATTTGAAGCTAAAAAAAAAAAGAAACAAAAAGAAAAACAAGTAATATATATTAAATATTAAACGAGGTAGTAAACGGGACAAATGAATGCCCCATCCAACTATCGAATCTGGACCCATCCTGTCTTAAGCGGCATAGGACAGGGCCGAATGGTCGCCCCCGCTCCGGATCTACACCATTGTCAACACTATTTATCTCTTGTGAAATTGCTCAAGGAGTGGGATTATTTCGGAAACATATTTGGCATTGCGAACAGACTTGAATCACTATCCCCATTAGATCTAGGTGTAGGCCTAAAAGCCATAACTATGTTTCGAGGTTGTTTCGCTTTAAAAAAAAAAGGTTCCATGTAGATGAAGTTTTTTAAAAGATTAATTTTATCATTTTTTCCCCCTCCAAAAGAATGTCTTTATAGATATGAGTGTAATTCATAAGGAAAATCCTCTAACCCTCTACTCATACATTTAAGTTATTGTAAACATTGTGTAAGTATATATGTAAACAGTTTCTTCTTTTCTATTTTCTTTTCTCTTTTTTGTCTTTCTTTTTTGTCCTAATATATTTTAGATATAATATTGTTACGAGATGTAAAAAAATAATCACGTGTAGAATATATAGACTCACGTGTAGGCTTAATTATAGAGATTCCTAATTTATATCTTCCTAAAATAGATTTCTCAATTGTGTGTTTGTGTATCTTTCATATGAATGAAATTAAGGAGAAATTATTTTCTTTCTTGAATACATGGTATCAGAGACCTAATCATTTTTTCTCTTTCGTGTTGTTATGGTGTTGGCAACGATATCTTTCTGGGAGCCGTCAGTTCTTAGCCATCATAGTAGACATCACGCCGGTCGATTGATTGCTCATAGTCGGCGCCACTTGGTTTCCTCATAGTGTTTCGTGCGGTTACTCGCTAACAATTAAAAAGGGATCAGACAATTGTGTAAGAGACAAACCTTTTGGAACAAAGTCCCAAAATGAAGTGTTTATCGAATATGAAGATTACAGTTTGGACGCGAACAATATGCCTCCAAGGGGCGCAAGCACACAAGTACGGGGGAATTGAAGTAATTAAAGTTAATCTAAGAAAAGTAAATTACACGTTCTCTGTTTGATAGTGAATTTTGTCGGGGTTTCTTCGTTGTCTTCTTCTTTCTTTTATACGGCTTGGGTAGTTTTTTAATCGTTTAGAAACTGCTTGTAACTACCCATTTCTTTCATAATGGTCGGCTGGCCAATAACTACTGTGTGTAACTCCTATCACCACGTCCTCTTCATAACTACTTGTCACCAACTCTCTCAAATTGTGGGGCGTAATTGTGATGTGCTCAAACCGCCCTAAATCGTGACTTTGGATAACAACAAGCTTTAGTCATCGTTGGGACTCTGGACGACTCAGCATTTTTGNTTTTCATAAATTGTTTTTTTTTTTTCAAGTTGACGGTTGAATCTGTAAAATATAATTTATTTTCGTGGTTATTAACCGCCTCGAATCGAGCCGAACAGAGATAATAATCGAACCGAACCGACTTTCATGGTTATGGTTCAGTTATGATATGACAAAAAAGTTAGTGATTCGGTGATGGTTTTGGCTGAACCGACCCCGTACCAAACTGTTGCCACCCCTAAGCCCGACCGTCCTATTGGTATAATCAAATTAAAAATTTTAAATATTATTTAATATTTTTATAAAATAAAATACTTTTATCAATGAATTTTTATTAAAAAGTACGAATAAGCTAAAAAAAAAAAATCAAAATAATATTAGAAATTCACAATTCGACTTCACGGTCCATGCATTCGATGTAAAGTCCATTGTTTAAATAATAAGTTGATCCACTAGTATATTGTACCATTAGTGTAATTTCAAATAAAATTTCCCACCCCTTATTCATGAAAAGTTCATTCGTTTTTGTCCTTCCTTCGTTTTTCTAATACTTAGATAATATCTTCATGGGTGAATTTGTATCAGATGTTATTGATTCCAAATCAAATGCATCGGAAAAAACAAATATGTTGTATATTTGCTTGAATGTTTCTTTCTCCTTGATCGATCACTTGAAGACCATCATGGCTAACTCTTATATTTTGGGGGACCTTATGCCAACTTCAAATATGAGAATATTAAGCTCCTGTTTGATAGAAATTAAAATCAAAATTTTAGCAAATTTTGATAAAAATTGATTGAATGTATGGTTGAAAACTATGAGTCCTATAAAATATACGGTTAAAATTAATTATTGATTTTGACTTAAAAATAATTAAATACAATTAAAAAACAATAAACATAATTAGGAAAATTGGAACACAAAATACAAGATTTAAATTCCAACACAAGCATAAAAAAGGAAAAAAAAAAAGAATAATAAATGGATCAAAAAATTCCAAACCAAATTGCATAACAAATAATTAAGTATAAGTTTAATTAAAACATTAATCAATACAATGATATTGAAAAACTGGGAAAAAAAAATGGACAAATAAAACGAAATACAAGAATCTAAAAAGAGAAATAAATACTAGTGCATTTAGCAACAACAAGTGTAAAACCCACCATGAGAGTATTAAAAAAAAAAAGTAATAGTCATAAATTTTGAAAAGACAAAAGTGGCATTTTATTTCTTGTTAAGAAAAATGATAGTTGAGAAGATAAATGATCAAATTAATTATATATTAAAAAAAGGAATAGATGTGATATATTTATGTTATACATAATGTATGTGATAAGTTTTAAATTATTTATATGATTTTTTTTAGAAATGTTTGTATTTTCAAATTTTATTAATTTCTTGTGTTGGCATATGATAATTTTAATTTTAAAAAATTGTAATTATAATTTTTGTTTTTCTTCAATTAGATAATTAACCTTACATAATTTAGACGATCGCTTATGCCGCCTATAGTCAGGGCTTGCCCTGAAGACCATGTCCAGATTTTTGGCAACAAATGTTTTTAAAGCCCTTAGCCATGTGTGGTTGAGTGGAAATGTGGAATGGAGAAAAAAAAGTTCAAAATCTTATTCATTAAGTTGTTTGATCCAATTCATTACTGTGTACCAAACACGGCTTAAAATTTTTGGGGGACATCCTCTTCCTTCCAATATGTTTGAAGTATCTCCACGACTTTTTTATGCATGTTCATTTGCATAAATTTGTGCCCACCAGTTCCATAATTGTATCATAACCATGTGACATGTGCCTAACAAAGTGGTATTCATTATAATTAAATCAAAGTTTACATTTAAAACACAATTAAAATGTTTAGTATATTTGAAGAGTATAAAAGTGAAATAATCCAAATCAAATTTCTCCATAGTTGTAATAACACGAAGTTGCAGCCCAGCTTAAGCAATCTCACCATATTACCATAATATATAAAATATCACATCAAATGAGAATAATTTTTTGGACAATTATAGCCATACACAATTCAATTATTTCAATAATATCTTACTTTTTGTTTTTCAATATTTATTTAATTTACAAATTGTAATAAATACTATAATTAATTTTCAATTAATTAACATTCACCTTCATTCAATGAATATTAAGCCCTTGTTTGGTACACATTAAAATTTTCATTCTCATTCTTCTACTCATTTTCAACCACACATTCTTCATTAAAATAATATTTTTCATCACATAACTTTTATTTCTTTTTCAACCACACATTCTCCATCAATCTATTATTTCAAAATACATTCTTTCAAAATAATGTGATTCAAACACACCCTAATTAGAATTTCATATTCATTCATGTCCTTGTTATATATTAATTATCAATTATTTAACATTCACATTCATTTAATTAATATTAATTAGAATTTCACATTCAAGAATACAGTTCATTATTCACATTCATAAATGTTAATCAGCATTCAGTTTCACTTAATTTGAAATTAAATTATATTCATTTAATATAAATAATTTAGCATTCGTTGTCATGTATAGATTCTTTTGTATTAATTCTAAATTAATTAATATTCGCGCTAATTTATGTATCGTGTTTGCCATTCATCTTCATTTATGCATTTAATTGTAATTTTAATACTCACGTTCAAGTATCCATTTCACCATTTACGTGCATGTATATTAATTAATATTTATTTTCAGAGACTTGCATTTCTCTCATATTTAGATTAAAAGGGTAAGTAGATGATCAAATATTATTTTTACAGCACTTATAAAACATTTTAGAATAATGTCCGTTCCACGTTCAACTCTAATTAGTTGTAACAAAAGTTGTTGCATCATACCATACAATTTTTCTCGCTACTGTCATTACTCATTAGAATGGAATTAATGAATTTATCAACCATTTTGTTGAATTATTCAATATTGTACATATACAAGCCTCTATTTGGTTTTGTTAAAAATTATATTTTTTGTAGATTTTTATAAAAAACGATGAATTGTATAATTTAAAAATTAATAAAAATTATGAGTGTCATGAAATGTGGTTGACAATTGTCATAGTAAAAATTGTAGTGTTCATCTACATCCTGTACACTTGGTGGCAAACAGGTCTTCATTTTTTTTTTTGACACACTTGTACGGAGAACACTAAAGTTATATCTGACCAGAAAAGTCTTTTACGCCATAAAATAAGGGCATAGTATGAAAGCGTAGCGTGCGTTAGGCTGTACAAGCAATCTTGTGGTTGATAGGATATTAATAAAGTTTGATTTGAAAAGAAACCTAAAGTATTTTACAGTTCATAGAGAATTTGGATTTTGTGGCCTCTTCCGGCCAATATTTTTTAACTGTCCTCATGGCAATTACGCGTATTTGTCTGTCATCGTGATCAGTCTGGAGGTCCTTAATCTTCTGTATACCTCCAGCATCATCAATCATCTGAGCAAAGACATTCACATCATCGGTGTTACATTGGTTCTTCTCAGCTTCTCCACCCTTCAGAATGTTCTCAAGGCCTTCCGAGCAGATTTTTATGACATGCACCTTGGTTCTTCTCAGCTTCTCCAACCTTCAGAATGTTCTCAAGGCCTTCCAAGCAGAATTTGATGATACCCGCTTCGTTGGGACTAGCTAGAAGATCGCACAATGACTTTATACAACCCTCGCGCACCAAGAATCTGTCACCAAGATGAAGAATTAATTCTCAAACCTAAATGTACTAACTAAGAGAATATGACAATAGACGTGGAGAATTTACTAAATTTGCTCATTAGTTCCGTTAGTAATGGCAAAAAAAATAGCCAAAACAAGTGGTAGCTGCATTGAAAAATCAGCATTTTGAAGCAGTTGGAGAAGAGCTGAAATAATACCAGCATCAATCACAGCCTGTGTATTAAGATGACAAACAGAAACACAGAAATACAAATGTCAAATTTATCAAAACAGAAGTACTAATACGTGACAATAATTGTGAAGGACAGCAAGCGAAAAATAATGAGTTTTGATGTTCAAAACAATAATTTGACTGGTGGAAACAAAAAATGTCTTTACTCTAACATCATTCCTCCCCATTCTCCAGTTGAAAAGAAAAATGGCTTATTTGTCTCGATGCATAAGTTATGAATGCATGAGTATTACCACAAAGGCCAAAACAATTTCATAGTAACTTGCATACCTGAATATGATCCTTCGTCCGTCTAATGATAATTGAAATGATCCAACAAGTTTTCTCCTTGACAGTTTTCTTGTAATTTTGTGTCAGGAAGTTAAGAAGGCAAGGAAGAGCCCCTTTATCAATGATTACCTGGAAAGCATTCAACAGAAGCAAGTTCGTAAAAAAGAGAACATTGCTTGACATCCTTAATTATGGTGTTCGCACTGAAATTCTTATTAGATTTCTTCTTAAAAAGTGGTCAAAGATTATAAGGGCTGATTTCTCAGGATGATACAGAGTTAAAAAAGCGGTCATCAAAGAATTGGATTTCTCTTTATATTTTCGCTACTCAAAGTATTTTCCTAGTCAAGGGGGACCTATAAAGTATGTCAAGATACACCCTCGTACAACTTGGGAATTACTAATATGGTCATGTTAAATGAATTCAATGTAGCTAAATACTAGAGGTTAATAGCAAAAGAATAAGGGAATGCCAAGTTTGAACATGAATAATTGATATCACAAACCAGTAAATATCTTTTAACTATCATGATTCCTTAAAAAATTCGTTGTTGTGATTTGAGCAACAATAATAATGAAGAACATGAAATCGACAAAGAAATAAGAACACAAATTTACGTAGTTTGATAATTTGCCTACATCCATAGGAGCTAAGCGGCTGTAATATTATTGATATGTGAATAAGAGGGCTACATCATATATATACACCAACCCTAGCCCATACTTTAGGTCACGTACAAGACTTTAAGGAAAAATCCAAAATACCTTCGTGCCGTACTACATGGGCCCTGCCCCGATACCCCTAACCTATTAATCATCCCTTGCAACTAAACAATGGATTAAGCCAGAGAATGCCGATATCGTCGTTCTGCTATATTCCGTTCGGTGTGTTATGCTCCCCATATTCCACTCTACTCCGCTCCACTTCGGCCTCGGCCTATATATTTCAGCCTACATATGTTCCAATATTTATGAGTTATATACACAATATACACAATAATCTTCACCTTGGAAAAATATCCACCCCTTCAGAGAAATAATGGAACTCTGGGAAAAACACCATCTGGTATCAATAGGTTGGGACACCTCCTTCTAACACATGGAGACATTAATCAAGTTAAAGCAATGCTTGAACTTATCCGTGACAATAGGTTTTGTCAACATATCCCATGCATTCTCAGAAGCGTGAACTTTTTCAAGCAACATTTTAAAAAAAAAAAAAAAATTCAAACATCTATATGCTTGGTCCTCGCATGATACACTTGATTCTTTACCAAATAGATGGCACTCTGACTGTCACATTTCAACTGAACTCTACCTTTTTGAACACCGAACTCCTGGACCATTCCTATAAGCCACAAAGCTTCCTTGGTAGCCTCATCCACTACTATATACTCTGCCTCAATCGTAGATAGTGCAACTAGAGACTGAATCATAGACCTCCAACAAATAGGTCCTCATACCAGAGTGAATACATAACCTGTAGTCGATCTCCTGTCATCCAAATCCCCAGGATAATCTGAATCCATATATCCCACAATTGAAGGATTATTTTGTTGCCTGCTAAACATGATGTCATAGTCTATAGTACTCCTCAAATATCTAAAAATCCACTTGACTACATCCTGATGCTATCACCCAGGACTTGCCATAAACTTGCTCACCACACGAACAACTTGTACTAAATCTGGTCTTGTACAAACCAAAGCAGACATCAGACACCTCACCGCACCAGTATATGGAACCTTTGATATGTCTTCATTTTCAGTATCTTTCTTCGGGTTCTAAGCGGTAGACAATCTAAAATGACTTGCTAAAGTACACTTACTGATTTGACATTACCCATGCTAAACCTCTCAAACACCTTCTTAATATAATTGCGCTGAGCAAACCATAATTTTCTGGAACTCTGTCCCTGCAAATCTCTATATCAAGAATCTTCTTTACTACACCTAAATCCTTTATGTCAAATTCTCTTCTCAACAAAGTCTTCAACTTTTTGACCTCACTCATACTCATCACAACCATCGACATATCATCCTTATAAAGTAACAGAAAAATAAAAGAATTATCGTCAAGGCTCTTTACATAAACACATCAATCATACTCACATCTAATGTAGCCAAACCTGATCACGTAGGAGTCAAATTGATTGTACCACTATCGTGAAGATTGCTCAACCCATAAAGTTATCTCCTCAATTTACAGACCAAGTGCTCGTGTCCAGGCTGACTGAACTCATTTGGCTACTCCATTTAAATCTGCTCTTCTGGATCTCCATGATAAAAAGCTATTTTACATCCATATGTTCCATATGCATGTCCAAATATGCTACTAAAGCCAACACTGCCCATGATGGAAGTGGGTCGAACCATAGGGGAGATCATAGTTTACCCTTTTCCTCTGATAGTAACCCTTTGCTACTAGGGGAGCCATGAAATTTTCTCCCTCTTTTTCAAATACTACTACTTTCTTCTTATACACCTATTTGCATCCTATCGCCATCTGCCCCACAGAAGCTCCACCAATTCCCAAGTTTGATTCTTATTCAGAGACTCTATCTCCTTTACCATAGCACCCATCCATCTACTCTTCTCTTGGCTGACCATGGCCTCCTTAAATGTAGTAGGATCCTTGCTACTGATAATAAGTACATAAGAAATCATATCTTCAAAATCATACCTAGTGGGTAGTTTGATAGTGTGTCTAGGTCTATCTATAGCTATATTGTGATGTTCCTAATCTTCTGAGTTAGAACTCTCTGCATTCTGCACATTATCTTCTCTAAGATGGGTCTCTAGTTCCATGTATACCACATGCTCATTGTTGTTGCAATTTTCTAGCACATGTTTCTCTTCTCTCTAAATACACTGTAACATAGATTTCTCATCAAAAATCACATCTCTACTAATCACCACTTTGTTTACCTTTGGATCCCCCAGCTTGAACCCTTTCACCTCTCTCGAATACCCTAAAAAGATACTGTGTCTATACTTTGTATCAAACTTCGATCTTTCCTCACTAGAAACATGCATATAGGCTGGACATCCAAACATTCTCAAACCAGAGTAATCTATCGCACTGCCTATCCATACCTCATCTACTACCTTCTCATCTAGTGCTACTCTAGGTGACTTGTTAATCAAGAAATATGCCATTCTTATTGCATCTGCCTAGAAGTTCTTTGTAAGCCCTATATTCAACCTAAAACATTTCACTCTTTCTACTATCGTCGTGTTCATCATTTCCGCTACACCATTTTACTGTTATGTATTATAAAGTGTCTCTTAATCTCATGATGCTCACAAAATTGTAAAAACTTTGAATCTGTGTACTTAGTACCATTGTCTGACCTGAGGCAATTAATCTTCTTCCATGTTTGGTTTTCTACTTTAGCTCTCCACAACATGAACTTGGCAAACGTTTGTGACTTGTGCCACATAAAGTATATTCAGACCTTTCTTGAGTAATCATCAATAAAACTCACGAGATATATGTCTTCCTCATGATGCTACCTTTGTTGGCTCCCAAACATCTTATATGAACATAGTGAAAAATCCCCCGTCTTGTGTGTGGCTATCTTAAACTACATCATATGCTATTTCACAAGAACATAATACTTGTAGAAATAAAGTTTACATGTTTTGACACCCTTCAAAAGATTATCTTATCAAGCTCCACCATACCACGCTCACCCATATAACCCAACTGCATATGCCACAAGACTGTACTTTCAGAATCAGACTCAGACTCATACTCTACAACAGCAACTCCACCTATAATTGTAGTAGCAACTTCTACATATTTCCAGCCTATTTTTGCCCCCTCATCACTTTCATGACACCTTTACTCATCTTCATTTTTCTACTTTCAGACTTATAACTGATCCCGTTGAGTCAAAAGCACCCAATGAAATTAGATTTTCCTCAAATCCAGCACATGTCTAACATCACTCAATGTTCTACAACACTATCAAGCATTGTAATTATGATATTCCATATTCCAACAATTCTGCAAGATGCATCATTCGCCATACAGAACTAGAATTTACTAATATGTAGGTGTCAAATCAATCTTTATTTGGTGTCATGTGATAGGAGCATGCTGAATCCAAAAGCCAAGAGTCTCTGAGATGATCTGAACTGGATGAAACAGAAAACATATCTCAGTCACCGTTCTCTAAGTCTTCTTCAACTATATTCGTAAACTTTGATGACCTTATTTCTTCTCATCATTCCCCTTCTTCCTCTCTAGACATTCTTGCTTCATGTGTCCCTTTTTCCCACACTTCTAGCACTGTATGTCTTTCTTTCTAGATTTAGATCGAGTTTTATTGTCATTCGATCCATTCCGAAACTTGTTTCTTCCACTTTCATAATTATCATTGACCACAAGCCCACCACCTTGAGAACTTTCATCACTGACCTTCGTCCTCTAATGAAAACCTAATAGAACACCTGTGACCTCTTTCAACTCCAGTGTTTCCTTTCCCCGCATCGAAGATGTAACCAAACTTTCGTACGTAGCAGAAGCTGGTAGGGAATTCAATAACATCAGCGCCTTGTCTTCATCTTTGAACTTTACATCAACTTGCTTTGGATTACTAATAATCTGGTTGAACATGTTTATATGTTGGCTTAGATCTGAGTCCTCCATCATCTTAAGGCCATACAATTCCTACTTAAGAAAAAGCTTGTTTGTCAATGACTTGGATATATATCTATTCTCTAGTTTCAACCATATTTCAGTCGAAGACTCCTCATCCATCACATGATACATCACGTCAGCAGCCAGACAAAGCCTAATAATTACCATAGCCTTTGCTTCATGTTCCTCCTAATCTATATCATCCATGCCTTTTGGCTTCTTTCCATATATCGCCTTCACCATGCCCGGCTGCACCAATAGATCTTCTACCCTTCTCTGCCATAATTTGAAATTCACAGTTCCATCAAACTTGAGCACATCAAACTTCACAGAAGAAAAATACCCCCTTCTCTTTAGGGCACGTATAAGACTTTAAGAAAAAATTCGAAAATACCCCCATACTGTATCTTGGGAACGCTGCACCCACACCCCAACCTATTAAGCGTCCTTGGCAAATAGATAATGAATTATGCCCGAGAAGACCAATATCATCATTCCACTCCATTCAGTGCACTATGATCCCCTCACTCCACTCTGATCTCAACCTATTTATTCCAGTATAGATGTGTTCCACTCTATATGAGCCACATAGAAAATAGTTATGAAAAAACAAAATCATCATAAAAGAAATCTAATACATGAGATAAGTTGTCAAACTCTCAAAATAAATAAGTTTTTCCTTTTGAATTAGAAGTCAAGGAAATGTTTAAGGACAAACTTGGTTCAAAACAAATTTGCTTATAAGTAAGTTGATCTATTCTAAAGCTCACCTCAACTCTGTAAGAGGGGCATAAGATGATAAAGGTAACAACACGAGTAACTTGGAAATGCTTCTTTCTTCAAAAATGTAACTATCAATTATCTTCCATCACACAGACTCATGATGCACATCTGTGTATACTTGAAACCATACTCTTAGCATTTGCACGTCACACTAAAAGTTTCAAAGAGTAACTTTGAGGACGGATCCAGGACCGGATCACAGACCGGGCTAAATCCGTCCCTGCGAGTAAGTATGTGGACCATCAAAACTGCTAAAAGAAAAAATGGCCTACCGTACACATCTTTTATATGAAACAAGCAAAAAAAGTTGGTTGTGAAATACAGTAAGACATTTGATGGCCTACCATTGGAAGAGTGAACATACCACATAACAAATTAATGTGCTCAAAAGGAAGTTATCTAATTAAGGTCAAGAACAAGAGTTGGCTGATACCTGAATCTGGATAACATCTACATATGCAATAATATAATAAACAGCAGTCAAGGCAGGATGCAAAACAAACTGTGAAGGAGATCTGCAAACCACTCAACCAAATAAGCACGGCTATGAAGTTCAATAAACAAAACCAAAGTTAAAATTCAAAACACAAGGAAAGATATCAAGTAGGATTTTTTCACTTACAGAAAAAGATCAACCAAACGGGGGAAAACACCAGCATCAATCACAGCTTGGATTTTATCCTTTGACTCACAGGTTAGATAGCATAGTGCCATGCATGCATGGAGACAAACTATTTCATCGTCTGTATAAATCAGACGAGTAAGAGGAAGGATGACAGTTTTCACCTGCTCAATAATATCCATATGGAATTGGTTAAATATATAAAGGTCCAGCAGTATTGATATGCATAAAAACCGTACAGAAAAGCAATTGGAAGACAAATTTGCTCAAACTGAGGCAGTGGCTCTCCACGACAAAGATATGACAATGTCATCGTAGCATTTCTCATGATGGATAGTTTTGTTTTACCATTAAATTGTGTCAATAAGAGCATTAACACTTCTTGACTAAGGAAAAGATCACGAGATTTTGTTGAGTCACGAGCAAAATCTCCTAACACGTGAAGTGCCTACAATAAATAGTTGGACATACAGTCAAAAGCATCCACGAAATAAAATTCAAATATTGTATTAGTCTTTAGCAATTTGTAAAAAGTTGGACGAACATATCCCTTGTACAGGGAGCAAGTGTTGTTACATCATTTGCTGTAATTTTTGGCACTAGTTTAAAGGTTCAATTTTTCATCTCGAATCTGCAGCTTGACACAATTAATCAATCGATCCCGATTTTAATCACTTAATATAAATTTGCATTCCTCTATTTTCTCCACTTTAGATTCAGAAAGCTTTTTCTTTTGGTTTCAGGTATTTTTCTTGAGCTAATGTGTAATTTCTTCAAACCAAAAAGAGATTGAGAGATTAGGAGTGTTGTTCTCCACTGGGCATTTCTCTTTGGAGTGCAGATTGAGTTTATCTTCGAGCTCTCTGGATGTTATGTCAACACATTGAATAGTGCTATGTGTTTAGTGGTGTTTATCGCAGTCTCTATGACAACATATGTGTCACTATGACAGGTCCAATTAAATATGAGGTGTTCTATTTGTCCAGTTTTTTCATTATTTTAATCAAGGAGCCCTCGTAGGAATGATAATCCAGACTCCTGGGTCTACTTCACTACTTGTTTAATTGACATATAAAATCACAACACAGCACCTACCTGTTCGCGAAGATCATCCTCAGGAGATCTAAGAAGGCTCAACAAAATGGGAATTGCGCCATGATCAATCAGCATGTTGATGTTATCAGACGAACATTTTGAAATTCCTTCTATAGCCAATGCTGCCTCAAACTAGTAAAATGAATAACTTGATACATTTAGTAGTTGAAACACATGAAATAAACAAGAAGAAGCAATTAATAGCACAAATTTAAACCTGAAGCTCCGGATAATCATCTCTATTAAGAAACTCAAGCAGTCGATCAACAACTTCAGGTATTATTTCCTTAATTGGGTCTGTGGAAACAAATATTTGTGAAGCTGTTTTGTGGAATCAGATATCAAAGAGAAAAAAGAGTAAACAGTAATAAGATTAATATCAAGTGGAATTAATTGATGACCTCCTAAAAGATATTTGTGAAACTGTTTTGTGGCCTTGAGTAGCAGTGTGTCGTCATTTGCCCCACCTATAATTTCGGCCTCCGTTTTCTTTCTCTGTTTCAATTGGAAGAAATTAATACTGAAGTTTATATAACAGTTTCGATAAGAGAAGATTCGTGTCTTCTTTTTGTACTTCTGTAACTAAAGTAAATGTAGTGAAATTATCACGCTTATAAATTTAATATTGTATTTTCTTTATTAATAAAACATGAAATCTAGAGTGGTTTAAAGAACAAAGAGAAAAAAAATGGTAATGCTTTCTAAGATTTCATTACAAAGACCCCTAAATTTTCTTGAGAGAGAGAATTGATCAGATGGGATTTACCAGTCGATGGATTTTTTGGAGCACGTAACGAACATGAACTTGAACGCTATCATTTCCCAAGTCCTTTAATGCTTTTTGTATTTGCTTTGCTGAAGTCACAGCCGAAGGGCTAGCGTCATCCAAGTCAATGATTTGAAGTGTTGGTATTTCTCCAATTCTACAAGGGATCTCCTCTAGTTTGAAACATCGACTAATAATTAGGCACTCAAGGCCTGGGAAGTGAGTGTCATCAACCCTCCATTGCACTAGGTCTAATCCAAGAAGTTGCAGAAATTTTAGTTTGCCAAATTCTCCTTCATTTGGCTCCCATTCTGGCCCATCAAAGGTGTCATGTTTCAGTTTGAGCACTTCAAGATTTGGCATCAAACCAACGATAGTCATATATTTCCAAGGAATTTCGCAATACTTTAAAGTTAACTCTTTGATATTTGGTGGGAAAGTGTAATTCATCGGGACACTCACACGTTCAGCATCACTACTACATAATATTTTCAGGTTCTCAAGTTCAGGAAGATTAACTAGATTACCTAGAGAAAAGAGTGCCATTCCTGAATTTTGAATGAAAATTCCTAACTTTTTTAGATTTGGAACTCTTTCGAAGACCTCCCTGGTGCAGCTGAAACTACTCACCGTCGACAATGTTAAAAGGTTACCTAGAACTACATTCTCCCCCTCTATTGGTGATCTAGCAGGGCATGGAAAAAAACACATCCCAATCATGAGATGCCTCAATTGTGGCATCCTCCATATTTCCTGTGGTAGATGTACTTCGTAACAGTCTATAATTAAGCTCTGTAGATACCAAAGAAAATCTGGTACTATTTTAGGTATGGAAGTTTTTCCATCACAGGAAAAAGCGAGGTACCTCGAGTGAACTAATTTTATTTCTCCAATTGGGAAACCATCTACTTTTCCTTCACCAAGATCCAACACCCTAAGCAGTGGAAAAAGTTTTTGGTCACCTGATTCATAAATCTTGCTAGCTGAACGGGAACATAAAATAGAACGGACTGGTGGCAAGGATCCCATGGACGGATTGATATTTGAAGTGTCATTGTTTGACAATTCCATGTGAAAAATATCTGGTTGAATACAAAGGCGACGTGAATACTTTATGCCTTCAGCAAAGATTCTGACATCTTTATCTGTGACAGCGACATGAAAATACCTCTCCTGCTGGGCTTTTCTTATGCATAGGTCCCTTAACAGATCATGGATGCTACAGGTTTTTATCTTTCCCCTAGAACTCTTTTCACTAATCAAAATAAGATTTCTAGAAATTAGATCTCCCAAATATTCCTCTGCCACTTCTTCCAAGGTTTTTCCTCAGACTGGTTTTAGAAATCCCTCTGCAGCCCATAACTTGATGAGTTTGGAGACACGGATTTCATAATCTTCTGGAAAAATTCCCATATAGAGAAAGCATGCTTTGAGATAATGAGGAAAGTAATCGTAACTTAAAGATAGTATTTCCGAGCAGTTTGCATCTGCTGCATTTACAACTGACTTGAAATTTTTTGCAACATACTCCCAGTGATCTTTCGTCCTGTTGGCTTTGGAAAGGTGGCCGCCAACCACGAAAAGGGAAAGTGGAAGTCCTTTGCAATTCTCTGCAATCTCCTTTCCAGCTTCCTCCAGTTCAAGAGGGCAAGAATCTTCTCCAAACACCTTCTGCCGAAGTAGAATCCAACTGTCAGTCTCATTTAGAAATTGCATATGATGGGGAGAGCTATAGGAGTCAGCCACACTCAACAGCCGTGTTGTAAACATGATCCGGCTTCCAATCCCATCGTCTGGAAATATCCTTCTCAAAGAATCCCAAGCCTCTGTAGTCCAAACATCATCCATCACAACAAGATACCTCATACCTTTTAAACTTTTGTATAGTTTATCTTTTAATTTTCCAGTATCATTCTCTTGACGCATTTCAACACTGAGTTGTTCCATGGAATCCAGAAGGTGCAGCAACACTTCTCGCTCACTATATACTGGAGAAATTGATGCCCAGGCTCGAGTGTCAAAATGATGTTCAATAAGTGGATCATTGTAAACGTTTAAAGCAAGTGTGGTCTTGCCAATGCCTCCCATGCCAACAACTGGGATGACTTTAAGAGCAGGTGGATATCCAGTAAGTCGATTCATTATTTCGATCAAATCATCACGAAGCCCAACTATATCAATCTTGCCGATTGAAGGAAGTCTTGATTGTCCGGTTGGCAAAGAAGTCCTCTGGCTCTGGTGCAGATCTATTGTGCCCCACAATTCCTTAAACTTAGCCGCCTTAGTCCTAATGGAATCAATTTCATCTGCTACTATCTCCAAGTTTTCACAAAAAGCTTGTTCTCTCATTTGTCTTTCTTGGAATCCTTCAGAACTAAAATTCTTTGATACATGTGATTCAATGAAATCTTCAGCTTTGTACGTTGCATCTCGAATTTCTATTTCCAAACATCGTACTTCATCGCTCCTTATCTGCCAAGAATCATCCAGAAAATCAAGTAAGAAACTCAACTTCTCCTGGAGAGATTTAATTTGTTGATCCTGAAGAGGAGTCTGATGTTGTTCTATTTGAGAATTTGATATCTGCTCCAGAATCTGATTGAGAGATAATACAGCAGCATAAGCCATTTCTTATTTCTCCACAGTCGCAATAGCACGAAATTGCAGCTCGCCTTAAGCAATCAAACAAGCTTTTTGTCAAGTTTCCAAGAAAATACACCAACCAAACATTTTGAGTCTCTCAAAGTTGAGCAACCACATTATTATAACAAAAATTGTTACATCATACCAGATAATTTATCTCCTGATGATAAAATACATCAACTCGTATTCAAGAATATACCTAAGCAATCACGCCAACCAAAAATTCTGAGTCTATCAAAGTAGTCACATCATGCCAGATAATTTTTCTAATGACATCTTTTAATTAATTATGATTATATCTCTCTTTTGAAGAAAATACATCAGCTTGTATCCAAGAAAAACCAGCTGTTTTTTTTTTCTTTTTTAATGAGAAACGGTACCGTGTCAAATTGAATAATCAAATTATCATAGGGAAAAATTGCAATATTAGTTTAGATCCTATACACTTGGTAGCAAACAGGTCCTCATTCTATTTCTTTTAGCATTCACATCCGCGATGCGCCATTGTTATTGGTTGACGAAATCCATTTAATTAACAGCTAATTTCTGTAATACCACTTATCGTATGCGAAATTGTTAAATATTGTTGTAATCCTGACATTCTTAACATAATTCAACCTTTTACTATTAAAAGGTCAATATTTCGATAGAAAAACTACCATACTTCTAACTTTACTCAAAACATTACAAAAACTAAGAAAGGGAGAAAAATAAAAATAAAAAAGACTTCACAGCAAAAAAATAAAATAAAATGAAAACTAATTTCTTTCAGGAATCTATTGTGTTTCAAACACTATTCAAAATCATTACTATTCATCGTTTCTTTTATTATTTAATTGAAATCAACTTTTGTTTTCATTTTAACTTGATTCAGAACGTAACCTATGCGTTTTATTCATGTTTATCATTCTGTATCCCATTATGCTCATGTTTAGTTTTGCTAAAAATCAAGTTTAGTGGATTCTGATAAAAGTTGATAAAATGCATGGTTGAAAAGTTGATAAAAGTGGTAGGTCTAGAAAATGTGTGGTTAAAATTAAATTTAATAAATTCATAAACAAGATTACAATGCAATTATAAAATAATAAAACTTATAATTATTTACGTGCTTAAAAACTACATTTTGGAATATTGAAAATACTGTTAGGTTTGGTGACCCAAATTATGTGGAATATTTTGAGAATATTTTTTTCCTTCTTTGCACATTGTTTTATTGGCAAAAATATTGGAAAATATTGTTTCCTTATTTTCATGTGATATTGTTTCCTTTTATTTTACGTGATTTTATTGGAAAAATATTATTTTCACTATTCCACATTATTTTTATATTATTTCCATCTTTATGGTTTGGTATGCACCTATAAATATGTAGCCCCTCCCTTCATATTTCTTGAAGCATTATACACATTGTATAATTTATGCTCTCCATTGATTGAAATAAAATCATCTTCTACTTCCATTAATTCTCTCTTGTGTTTTCATTACTTTAAATATTGTCTTTGTGTTTGGTGATCTATTACTTCAATTGTAAAGTTTCCTTGTTAGATCCTAACAAGTGGTATTAGAGCTTAGGCGTTGTGAAGTTTTGCTTTTAGGATTTTTTTTTTTTTTTGTAATAGCTTCAATGAAGTTTGATATTCCGTTTTTGGATCGCAATAAAAGATTTTTATTGTGGCAAGTAAAGATGAGAGATGTGTTGGCGAGATGGATCTGGATGATGTGTTGTTGGGATTTGAGAAGATGCCCGCAACTTGGACAATAGAGGAGAAGAAAGGAAGGATTGTAAGGCTTTGTCTCAGATTCACCTTCATCTATCTAACAACATTCTTCGGGACGTATTGAAGGAGAAGACAACAGCTGCGTTGTGGTTGAAGTTGGAGCAACTATGTATGACAAAAAGTCTGACCAATAAGTTGCATTTGAAACAAATGCTCTATTCTCATTGCATGGTAGACGGAGATTCAGTGGAAGCTCATTTGGTCGTGTTTAAGGAGATCGTCGCTTATTTGGAGACGTTAGAGGTAAAATATGATGAAGAGGATCTTGCCTTAATCTTATTATGTTCTTTACCTTCTTCATATTCGTCGTTCCAGGACACGATTTTATATAGTCGTGATACATTCACCGTTGAGAATGTGTATGATGCGTTATTCTCTAAGGAGAAGATGAACCATCTTGTTGGAGCTACATCAAGGGATGAGCAAGCTCTTGTGACTCATGGTAATCGGCGGAGAGGTGAGTCGAGGGTGAAATATAGCAATGTGGTTTGTTTATATTGCAAGAGGAAAGGGCACATTTTAAAGGATTGTGACAAGTCGCAGAACAAAGGTAATTTGCCTGCAACTCATGGTAGACAATCTAATCATACGGATGAGACTAATATTGTCGAAGTCTTTGAAAATGATGAAGTTGTGGTGTTGACCGTATCTGATACTGTATCCAAGCCTGATGAAGAATAGATTTTGGATTCAGCTTGTTCGTATCATATGTGTCCCATTCGGGACTTGTTTGAAGCATATGAGGCGGTGACGCAAGGTGGAGTTGTCATGGGAAATAACTAATCTTGCAGGATAGCTGGAGTTGGGAAAATTGGATTAAGGCTATTGGATGGGACGGTTAGAATATTTGGCCAGGTTCGACATGTTCCAGACTTAGGTAAGAACCTCATTTCATTGAGTACCCTAGATTCAAAGGGGTACACGTTCTCCAGTCGAGGTGGAGTCTTGAAGGTCCTTGTAGTGCTCGGGTGTTACTTGAGGGATGAAAAAAGTCTCAATTGTACATCTTGCAAGGGCATTTAGAACCAGTTAAAAGATATTTAGACAGGTTTCGTACCATGGTGGATATTCAGTTTGGTACAGTATCATTGGGTTTTAGCTCTGAGTATAATTTGGTGAACACTACTCATGAGAGTTTGGTTAACATGGGTAATATCACTTTGCCACCAGTTTCAGTGGTTCCATCGTGTTCTATTGCTAGGGAATAACTCATTGCGGAGAGGTACCGTCCAGATGTGGGTGTGTGTGTTTTTTTTGTCATTGAAGATGATGTTCTAGCAAGCAATCTTCAGTTCAAGCACTTGGTGATGATTCTGCTATAGGGTGTGCTTCTACCCTATTTGGTTAATTGTGAATTCCATTGAAGAATTTTGGAAACTCGGTGTGTGAGTTCGAGTATCATTTGTGGATACTAATTGGTTGATTGTTTCCATGGTGGAATTTTTGGGAACCAGATGTGGTTCATGTATCATGCTGGATACTTGGGAAGAGGCAGACGGTTTTTTGTGTTGGAGAGATTTGAAGTTTTTGATTGAAAGGTTGTGTCATTTCGATGCAGTCGGATTTATTTTTCCAGGTGGAGATTTTGTTGCTTAGTTCGATGCTCCGGAATTTATGTCAAGGTGGAGATTGTT